GGGGTCAGCGTGCGCTCCCCTTGACCTACATTCGCGCGCAGACCCCAGCCGCCCCCTAAGGCCCCTCAACCACTTTCCATCAGGGCGCGCCCGAGGTGACGGTTGCATGGAGCACGCGCTCTTATGGACGCGTGTGTATCAGCCGCGTTTCCTTCTATTCTATATGAAAATAATAACGACAAATCACGAATAAGTTCTTGGTTTTTGATTGATTGATTAGTGATTCCGGTCGCGTCAGGGTTTAAGGTGAGTCTGCATCCTAACTGTAGAGAAGGTTTTGTTTTTTTTTCTCGGGAGGTGGCAGTGGTTCTTCGCTGGATGGCGAGAACCGGCAGCGACCTACCGTTGGCTTGTGATTTTCCTCAACCAGGTATCTCCCAGCGGGGCACCGCCCCAACTGGGGCAAGCTCTAAGCTCTCGACCGGTCTCCCGGCATGTGTGGAAGGGTAGTGCATGTAAGTGTAAGGGGTAGGGTAGGACAAGGAATGGGGGGAAAGATCGAGCGCGGTCAGTGGGCCGTGTGCTAGGGTACTGCTGCTGCATTTGCCTGGTGTTGATCAGATTTTCGTTGATTGAATGATAGACATGCGTCTCTGGCGCAACAACGGCTGTGATCATTACTGTCTTATCTATTAGTGTTAGTGTACATGTTATATCACGGCAGGTGGCGTTGCTCCTTCCCCTTGGAAGGAGACATCCGGACCCGATCTAAAAGTCGGCTTGTTCCCCCTTCAGGTAACTGCCCAGAGTCGGGGTACGCTCTAAGCGCCCGGCATATGTGATAGTGTGGTGCACGCGCGCGTAGCTGTGTGTAGGAGAGAAGGAGGAATTAAAGATCACGTGCACTCTGTATCCAATTTGTTAGGGCATTGCTCCGGCATTCCTCTGGTATTGATCGAAGACACCAGAGAAAACACCACATCCGGTCGCTAGAATTCTCATCCAGTCTGTGGCTGGATGCGACCCAGTTATTTAGCTAGTGACGAAAATTACCCTGCCGTCGGGATTCGAACGCTAGTCTCTTCCGCTCAGAGTCATTGCAATGACAACGGCTGTTGCCCTGCCGATTTTCTTCGAGATTAGTGTTGTGATTACCCTTATCATGTATACCTGTGCGTGTAGCTATGTTCAGGACAGTCCTCTTTAGGGTAGATAGCGCCGGGCCAGCGTATGTAAATTGGGGACCAAAAGGAAAATAATGGTTTAACTCAAATGTAAATTGGGAACCGCACCCAGAGAATGCAATATGTAGATTGGGGACCGACTAACTCCTCCCCTTCCAGGTAAAAGTGGAGGGTGGCACTTTATTTTCGAAGAACTTTTTCCTAGCCATTATTTTTAAAACTCAACTTCCTCTCCAACTTTACTGATTTAGGATTTTAAATTTGGACACTCTAGTGCTTTCTTTTCTTTTTATTTTGATATAGGAGCGAGTCTGAAATATTTTCAATAAGACACAAGGAAAAGATGGACAGCAGCGCGACCGCGGCGACTGCTCCTGTAACGCGCTTACCTACTCGATCAGCCCTTTTCATTACCTGGGTTGGTTTGGTCACCAATCTACATGGGCAATTAGAATGTAAGTTTCGCGAGAAAAGGTGAAGGGAGTATTTGCTCCCCAATTTACCTACGACCAGTCGGGCCCTCGTCCAGACAAAAGCGCATTCTTTCCCAGTCAAAGACAAACAATGGATGGTGAATGGTTGTGCCGCGAGGAGTTATTTAGATTTAGATTTATTTAGTAAAAACAAAAACAAGTAAAAACTGTATGCGACGTATGGGAGAGATAATATCTGCGCACGTTTTCTTTATTTCTAGAATCCCTTCCTATCATAAATAGTTGAAAGATGAGTAAAAGTTAAAAAAAAAAAGAATGAAAAAAGTGCGAAATTAGCAGCATTTAAAAAACTAGACATTTTTGATCCCGAGTTATAGAAAACGTTTTTGCAAACGAAACTGCAAATTTTATTTTTCTGCATTGCGATCAAACTAGTAACTCGCTCTTACACCTACTCCTACCACTACAAGCAAAAACGAGTTCAACAAAACGTGCGCATAGTGAAGCTACATTTATGTCCAGAAGCAAAACAAGGGGCCATCTTAGCATTTGCTGAACGGGTCAGGGAAACTGGACAAAATCTGATCGAGTGGGAAAGCACATGCTGGTTTTATATTGGCAAGTGATCAGGGCCTTATTTACCTACATGCAAAACAAGCAGTTAATGGCAGGTGAACTCCATCCATAGGGTCCCGGTCCCGAAAAATACTATAAAATATTAGTATCTGAAAAATACTTGTTAATCAAATAGTCTACTTTATTGAAACGTTATTCTATTATAATAAGTGTATTTTTAGTAATTTTGTAGTTTTGAGGGGGTCCCGTCACAATTTTGTGCTTGGGGATGGGGGTACCTCAATCTCGCCCTGCAAGTGATTGCTACAAGTAGTGGCAGCAACTGCTTGTCGTGCTCTTTTCATCAACTAGAGCAGGCTGGACAGTCCTTGCCCCCAGATCATATTGCTAGACGCAGCAATTTTAATCTGGAAAGAAGCTTCTGAAACACACTGTTGCACAGTTGCATTTTGCACTGGTGCCACACATTCGCTGGATTATATGCAATAACTGAAGTATTACGTTGGGGTATTTAGTGCCCCTGTGGGTATCGTAGCTTAGAAGTGGAGTAAATAGTTTCCCCGTTTTTACAATGTTCAACCGCAACTTGTACTACGAAAGCTCTCACTGGATTTTACATTATTATTATTATTATTATTATTATTATATGTTAGTTTTATTACTTTCAGAGCATTTCTACATTGTTTTGCCACTTTTCCCAGAGAAGTAGCAAAAACTGCGTTTTCTCAGAATAGTGGATTTTACATTATGAGTTTTCTATAAAAATAAGTGCGCACCGTCTAAAACAAGAAAGGGTAACATTTGTAGACCTATCTGGTCCCCTTTTCCATTAAGCTTGTATTTGTATATGACATATTTTATTAGAAAATAAATTAGCCTTATTTACAATTGATTTTATGTTGAGCATGTACAGTTTGCCTGATGGTTTGGAGAACATCTTCCCTAAATATCGTGAATAAACTCCCAAAATTGTAAGTTTCAAATAGGGGGAAACTAGATATTAATCAAAACGGATATACTTGTAACATGTTTTAATATGATCAGTTGTCCTGGATCCCTTTTATTCCATCATTAACCACGAAACAAAATACTGTATATTGCAGTGCAAATGTTTCTCACACTCAAAATGTGGGTTCGTTTTAACTCATAAAATAAAATGCAATAAAATCAGAGAAACAACATTCATGATTTTCCCTTAGCAGCAGAACTGCTAGCAACTGCCATGCCGAAAGATCTCACGGATGCTGCTCTGGAAAAAATTGAACAAACTTGCCAGCAATTGCCACGAATTTTTACTCCAGCAATCGCAAGGTCAACTCCAGGAAATAGGCGTACACACTAAATGCGGGGCGCAGATCAAACAAAGTTACCAGGGCTTGCCACGGTGGAGCAAAGACACTGATCAGGGGATTTTCAAGAGCAATTTCGCTCGAGCAAGCGAATTCAAGAGCAATTTTTTTCCCAACTACGAAAGACAGTTAACTCAGAAGGGTTGAAACTGAAGGCGAGACTTTCACACATGGACTGTATCCGATGTCGACATGAACTGGATCCATGTCCTGGTCCGAGCTGGTATGGAATCTTTGTGAGTCGAGTATCTAGAGTGTTTGTTCTTTCCCAGGAATATTTATTAGAAATTGTGTGTCCAAATAGATTAAATTTATAATAGAGGAAATTAAGATGATACGAAACTGGGCAGAAATACCACTGATGAGCTGAAGCATTTCCTTCAGCGGCACGATTCCCTCAACCCTTCATTCACCAAAAACGTTACAAAAATAACCCTTTATCTGCAATTCCAGAGCGTGGGACTATGAATTCGCGATACTGAGGAGCAATTTCTTTTTTGGAACGGGTATGAATTGTTCTAGTTCATCTTGATCTTCTTGAGCTTATTTATTACATACGTGGAACGGAACTAGTGACTTCAGTTCACTATATGTAACTAATGTCAAAACGCCGACGCCGTCTTTTTAATTTGAAACAATTGTAGTACCTGAAAATATACATAAAATAATTTTATCTATGAAATTATTTTAATCATTTTTCAACTATGTCGCTTTTGTTGAAATCGAGAAGGAGGGGTCGGTATGAAATATTTTTCTATGGGAGAGTTGTAAATGTTAGAAATTGTAACTAAGTTTAAAGCTACATTTGACGAACTAAGCCTCCTTATATGTATGAATATCTAGTGTTGTCTTGAATGTGTAAATCTGAAACATTCAGTATTTTTAACAGCGAGTAATTGGGGGGGGGGGGCGCAAGACTGAAACAAGGAAACATCGGCGAGTGCTTTGCGTACAGAGAGGGCGACGTCAGCGTCCACTGCCTCACCAAGAAACGGCGCTTGAAACTTCCACGCAGGCTCTCCAGTGGCCTGCAAGACGGGGAATGGCAGCTGGCTCCTCGAGAAAGGACATGGTAGTTCACTTCACGACATTGAGAGTTGCACGGTTCAGTTGGAGGTCGCCTGAAGTGGCTTTCTCTTGGGGAAAGCCGTTGCAGAACACGATCTTCAGTGCTGCCATTTCTACGGTTTTCTCAGAAATATGGTACCGATCAGGTAAGCCGAGTCCGCTAAGAGGGTCACGCTTTAGGGAGGGACTCGGTTCGAATTCGGTCTCGGGCATGTATATTTGCGTATGTGTTGTGGCATTGAGAGGCTTTGCGAAACATCATATATTAGTCACCTTTCAACTCTTTTCCTCCCGTTATCGACCAGCTTGGGTCTCGTGGGACATTGTAAGCGTTACATCCGGGAAGTCGGTTCAATTTCCGCGTAAGACACTGAAGTTTGTAATGTGGCATGGTGTGCATTCCCAACACTATCACGCTTGAACTCTAAACGTTATTTTAATTCCTTTAGTTGTCTGAGCGAGTAGAACACCAGGTGTGCGACGCAAGGGCTCGCGGGTCGCAGCGCCATGTAGGTGGTACGGCCTGGCTCCTTTTTTCTATGCGTGAAAGGCTTACGAGCTACGCGTATCAAACGTTCCAAACAGAGAACGAGCTCACGAGCCACAAGGGTCTATGGGATGAGGAGATGAGCAAGTATCAGAGGCTACACCTGGAGTAATAAGTATCAGTTGGGTGCGTGGGTGTGGGGTCTATAGGTACCAAACTGTGTGTGTGTGTGTGTGTATATATAGTAGAAATAAGGTGTGAAAAAATTAATAAGTTCGAAATCTCATTCGAATTTGTTTACAAATGTTAAAATGTGCTAAATTATATATTAGTTCTGTAAACTTCAAAGAAGAAAAAAACAGAATACATAATACATCGCTGACTTTCAACTAGTAATGTTCAGTTGCGATTAATATAACGGATGAGTGGGAGGTCACAAGTGAATGTAATGAATATTTGTCTGAAGATAGAAATAACATTTATCTTCGAAACGTAACGATATGTATTTAAATAAAATAATTAAAAGGTGATTGTCAATAAAATTATTGAACCTTAATATGTTTGTTATATTATTGAAGAAGTAAACGACGTTCTATACCTAAACAAATGAATAATCAATCAAATAAAGAGCAACTTCAACTGAAAAAAGGCAATATTAAGTTTGTTACATTACTATTCTTCATAAGATTGAAAGAAAACTTTCAGTTTTGAGTAACTGCTTCGCGATACAAAATATATCGTGTAAACATGTTATTCATCATATTGGCATCTGTATTTGTAGCAAAAAATACGAGCATCAGTTATTAGTAGTAGTACTTTTTTGACATTTATGAAAAGTATAAAAAATGTTGATTTTTTATTGTAATTACATTCCTGGAAATTGCAGTTCAAAAACTTTTTTTGTTTTCGTACTGGACTCTTAAGAATGCGCGGCGATGCACAGTATCAGGATTTCTCTTCTCTCCATTATTTGATTCTACATCAGTCCTGCTTTTGCACACTGTATTAGTCATTTCCAGATCAGATTAACTGTGTTTTCGTGCCTCATGGGAAACACAGGTGTTAGTCGCAAAGACCACGAAAGATGTACTAAGAAAAAGAAAGAAACTAGAAAACTCCACTTGATTAAAGAAGCCAGCGGCTATGATCATTAAAAATAACAGTGTCCTTACCGAGACAATCCCCCGGCAAAGATGTCTTTCTATTCAGTTGCTTGGTAATACAGAAATTTCGTCATATTCTCGAAATCACCAGCAACAGTTTCCTACCAATTCTTCACACTCGACATTTTACTTCTTTAAGTACCCCTGAAAGGTTTTGTGTGTGACTGCGAATTTCACAATTTCTTGTCGACGCTTTAATTTGCTGGGAACAAAGGTCAAGCAAAAAAGAAGCCTGCAAATGAAGAGTGCCAATCTCTGGCTCCACGTCTGATCGCATGCATGATCACAGCAGCGTGTGCTTTGGGTTAGCCTTCACTGTCCTACAAGTTGATTGAGGAGTTATAGTAGAGAAGTGCACGAGTGTGCTATTGGAAGTACTAGCCTGCACTTCAGTCCATTTTCCGTTTGAATCGTTTTGTTATAGACATTCTTTCCTCGTTACTCAATCTAATATTTTTTTTAGTAATCTTCAAGTGGGTTGAGCTTAAGATATACGAATAATAATCATATAACGAAAGTGAAATAATTGTTTGAATTTTCAAACAAAACAGGAACATGATTACAGACTTTACCTGAAAGTTAGTATTCGGATACTACTTTTGACCAGAACGGAGCTGGTAGATGCCAACCTACTTCGGCTTCCTTCGGTTCGTTAGATGGAATTTCCGCTTGCTGTCATCACTTTGGCCCGTCTCTAATCGTTGCTTTGGGGGCGACAGGTGGCTCGTTAGCTTTAAGCGGATCGGGGCTTAAAGAGAAGCTGTTGAAGGGTGGCGTGGCGGCGCGGCGCGGCGCGGCGAGCGCGCGTCGATGGTAAGCGATGGCTCGCGCTTGCGGGAAACGCTCTCGACTTGGTCACGTGCGGCGAGCGCCTTCGCCGCTCGAGGGTGGCTGCTCGGCGGGAAGGCCTAGGCCTCCAGCGCACGTTGCGAAGGGTCGCTGACCGCGCGGGCTTCCTGATCCAGAGGCCGGAGACCGGAGGGACAGCCCTTGGCGGTCGCCGCGGCATATCGACCTCGGCCCCTCCGCCCCGCCGCGCCTCGCTCCGCGTCCCGCGCTGCGCGGCTGCGCTCGCGGCATCTCGCGCCGTTAGCCCGTACTGCGGGGTCGCCGCCGCCACCGCTGATGACCGGACAGACTCAACGTTACAACCTCCCGACTGGACAGATGGACTCGTGTCCCGTACGAGTGCGGACAGAATCGACTCCCTGATGTTCAAAGTCGTTATTTTACATTAGGTCTTGGTTTTACATGTTAATGCCTATTACTGACAGCGATCTTTGCTAATAACTTCATATTATTTATATAACCCTACTCTAGGTTTACCTTCCTTTTTTTCACTTCTTCCTGTGTACTTTTAAGGTACCGCAACTTGCTTTTTATTTGATGGATTAATTTGAGATTCCGGGCGCGTTAACGGCTAAGGTCATTAGTCCTATCAGTGTAGTGCATATTTTTTTCTTCTAGAGGTGGGTGTGATCTTCCCCAGCTAGATGGTGAGATCCGGCACCAATCTTCCGTCAGCTAGTGGGGTTTTCGATAACCAGGTATCCCCCACTAGCGGGGTACCATCCCAGCCGGGACAAGCTCTAAGCTCTCGACCGGTAAGGGGTGAGGATAGGGAAAGGAATGGCAAGGAAAGATCGCGCGCCGTCCGTGTCCATTTATTAGGTTACTGCTCCGCCATTCGCTTGGTGCGGATTGGAGAAACCAAGGAAAACTACCGATCAGAGCTGCAGGCCGCTAGAATTCTCCTCCTGACAATGACAGAGCTCGACCCAGCTCTAGCCAGTATCTAAAATCCTCAGAGGCATTGCGGTATCATCTCCCGGTGCCGACTGCACTTGAGAGCTTGAGTGTGTTACAGTAATTCGAGTAAGCCAGGCCTGTGCATTAAATACGCAAAGACTTGGTAAATTCTTTGTATAATGCACCCGTGGATGGATAGCTTGCTATTTTCCGAGCGTCGAACATTCGGTGTTCACCCAACACACCGCGTCACGCAGGGGGGGGGGGGCAGACGGTTGCAAGACCTGAGGCTCTGGAAGACGTAACGTCCACTCTTACCCCAGTTAGTCGAAGGTACTCACGTCGTTAGCTTCACGACGGAGGCAGTGATTAAGTGGCTCTCCACTGACCTTGGGGTGGGTCGAGGCATCATCTGTGTAGCTGGCATCGGACCTCAAACCTCATTCAAAGTCCACACCCACATCCAAACCCATATAAAGGTCCATACGGGGAGCATGACCCCCCTGTCAGGGTTGCCTAGGTTCCGGCGACACTCAAGTCGATAGTTTCAAAGTGGAGGCACGGGCACTTGTTGGGCACACGTTAGGCAACAGGGATAGCGCGAGCTCGAGAATGGGCGAGCAGTCGCTCTCTACTCGGCGAATGCCGAATGTCCGGAGCCGCCTTAACAACCCACACAAGTGAATATTCAGTTCTGGGATAAAAATACAATCATGTAAGTCCACGTTCCGACGTAGGTAGTTCCGGGTATTAACTCTGAATCACTGCAGTGCCTTTGACTGAGATGTTCTAGGATTTTACTACCGCCGATGGCGGAATTTTTGACACTAGCTAGACCGCTAGATCGAATTTAGCCACTGCCTGGAGGAGAAGTGACCGGTTGCTGCGATCGGTAGTTTTTCGAGCTTTCTCCTATCAACACCGGGCGAAGGCCGAGGCTGTACCCTAACCATGGACCATGCGCGATATTTCCTTCATCGTCCCTGTCCCTATCCTCACCTCTCATCTTCACACAATGCACTACACTGCCACAAATGTCGGGAATTCAGTCGGCCGAAGACCAAACGATCCACGTCCCCTCGCGTATTAAACTAGAACTTGGCTCCCAAGCAGCAAACCTGTCTAATATCTTAGTGTATTATCGACAGAAGGCTCAATTGGAAATCAATATCGTATTCTGAATAACTCTAGTCATCCGTCCATCTCATCAATTATACCCAAAACTCAAAAACGAATTATTTCTTCTGAGTAGTTCACTGCGTTGTGAGTTGCAGTTCACTTCTACCAATGGTTAGACATATACTTTCTTCTGCTTTTCCGGAGTGGGCCTCGGCTAGCTCTTCAATTCTACAAATGCAGATTTTAGTACCAATTCCTCCGAGCCATTGCCAAAACAACATCATTAGTACCCAATTACTAACTACATAATGAACTCAACATTACTTCGATCTCCATTCATTCCCTACTCCCTCTTATCTTTTCGCCAAAATCTCAGATTCCATCAGCCATACTTCTTATCGGCAAATTAAACCCACATCAATCCATCATGCAGTCGGCAAAACATTCACACCACACATGGCTAAAGCAAAACTGCGAAGATATCTTTAAGCTACCATGATTAATACAGTCGGCTCTGGTTGCAATGAACTTCTAGAAACTAACACTTTTGGTTCACTATATTCGATAATGTCAAAATTAAACATAATTTTCCCACAATTGATTTTATTAATATAGAGATATAGAATAATACATTAGCAGCACGAACTGAAAATTTCAATATCTTTGTTTGATCATAAACAAATCAATTGTTTACAGCGTACATTTTTCATTAGTAATTTAGAGACATTTCTTCAGAGCTCGTGCTCTCTCCGTACTTGATTCTAGATTCGCCAATAATGTCATCCTTTTGCAAAGCAATCACCTTGCGCTTCTACAGTACTGCTGAATAATACGTTCACATCGTAAACGTTTCTTCCTTTTAGGGTGCACCTCATATGTGTAATAACCGCCCCACTCTCAGAATTCGCCGCAATAACGCACGTGATCCTTTCGGTGGCGGCATGGCGCGAGCGGCCAATGGAACTGATTGCTTTTCGGCAGGCGTGGCGACGTGTGGTTGTGGCAGTCGCGTGCTTCCCGTCACCTACGTGCTTTGTCGCACGCAATCTCAAGAAACATCAAGCTTGATACGCGTAGTCGCCAGTTGTAGCTCACGCAGGACACGGCCTTTGTTTACGCAGTGAATCTGAGTGGCACAAGGTCATCTGTAAGGTCCCCATTCCGCGTCCGCTACTTACTTCCACCTCAGAGACAACGTTTTCAATGATGAGCTTTGACCGCCGATACCTATATCTATCTATATCTATCTATATCTATCTATCTATGTGCAAGTTGCCTAGTGTTGGAATTTATGGCACCGAGGCGATATATATTTTTTCCAGGACAGAATTAATTTATAGGATGTTGAATTTCTCACTTTCACTACAGCCAAGGTGCAAAGTTCACTACAACCGCGCTTCTGTAATGTCCATATTTATAATGTAAACGGGACCAGTGATATAAGTTCATTACAACCGAGAGTTCACTACAACCGCATCCGACTGTATTCACCTGTGGCTTTTCATATACAATTAATTAGTGCCTACTATATTCTATGTAATATAATGTTTACAATAATATTGTAATTTACAACTAATACATTGTACGCGGCCGCTGCATGACGGCCTGCTGACCAAACAGGTGTACATGTTTAAATAGGACTTTTTTAACTAGCGACTTCAACATCAAAGCACTATCATGGTACAATTTCTGCTGCTGGCTGGAGGGAAGGATGATAAGTAAAGACATGATTTTCGTGCAGTAAAACTCCCTAAAACGTGCAGTAAAAACACCGAAACGTGCAAAAACATGCACAAGATCAAGACTGCAAAACGGTGTAGTGTAGCCTAAAAACTTCGGTTAATTCACTTATCAACTCATTTTTATGTTTTGAATGAAATACTTAAGGTGAATGAAGTATTATAATGCTAGAGTTATTATAATTAAGTTTGAACATATTATTTAAACCTCGCACACAAAATTTAATTAACAAAAAAAATAAAAAGTAAAATCAAAAATTGAAAAATGCAAATATACCTTCAGAAATAAAAAATATTGAAGTTACAGAAGAAATTTTCTTAATTGTTTTCATTATAATTTACATTTATGTATATTTCCAAATTATTTTCTGCGAAATTATTATATCTTCTATCAAATAATATGTTTCACCCAGGAAAAACTTCGTTCTATAATTCTATAATTTATACTTGGCTCTGTGCCGAGCCTCACTCTGATGTACGTGATCACTGCTAAAAGTGGTAAAAAACTGCGTTCATTCTCTCTTGAACCTCCTAGGGCAACGTTTGAGAAATTTGATAAATTTGAAACGCAGTGCAACTTGTCGCTTGCTTCGCGCCCGGGCGTGGGGTCAAATGAGACTCGCGCATGCTATTTCATGTTGGTACGTTCAGCGAAGACTGAGAAAACGATATGTGATCTGATTGGGAAGCCACACCCCGAACATAGCATTTTCTGAGAGGCCGCAACCAGGGTCCGCGGATCTAGTCCTGCTGCAAAAACTCAGAAATTTCAATTAGACAATAGACATCATGAAAGGAATAGACGCTCAGTTCATCGGGCAACAAAATCAGCTCAGGTTTTACAGACCACCCGAATGCAATGCTGGGTTCTGTCATAAAATCATTTTTCTTACATAAACACCTTTAAAAATTATAAATTGAAACAAGTTGATAATACAAAAAGTTATATTTTATACAACGAACAATTAATTTTGCAAATTCGTCCTGTAAAATCTCGAAATGTGCCATTTTCAGGCAGCTTTACCTAAAACGAGCAATATCGTGCAATGACCCCCATAAGTGCACAATAATGCGCGCGTAATGATTTTCATGATTCAAAGTTCTGTCAAGGTTTCATCCAATTTTAAGTTAGCAAAGACAAAATGCAGTAACCCGAAAATCCTGTTTTTAGCGATAAGTATTATGTAAATCTTCGGGAAGAACATTTTGAATGCATTTCCCATTTTCAGTACGTAATGAGCCGTTCTAGTTCAAAATACGATTTTTTTAAAGATACCTTGTGTGGATGGCTACAATAATTATTTCAGGGAACAGTAGAGTTATTGTGAGTACTTAGGGCAATTGATCCAAAACTTCCCAAAATTTGTGGTGTTGTGTATCAAAACTTAATTCCGACTCCGATAGAAAACGAAAGAGAGTTATAAAGAAAATGGAAGATGTATTAGTAAACTATCCCTGTGAGAGGATATGAACCATATTGTAAAGATTCACAATGGTGATGATGTCATTGAAAATTTGTATTTAGATTTAAATTCAATTGAAATCTGTGTGTTTAGAATGTTCTAATTACTTCAG